TATTGTAGGCCAAGATTTTCAGTGGAAGCCTAAAGCTAGAGTCTAAAGTGATCTTTAGATTCCTAGATGTCTAAGGCATCTTCTGGCACCTAAATATTCCTAAGTAGCAAGCTCCCAGAAGTTCCTACCGAAATGAATGGCAGTTGCTATGTTCACAGACTTTCTTAAAAAAAAAATGCATAAAAGTACAGACTTACGAGCAAAAGCCAATGGGTGGGTACACAAAAAGTTGCCACATGGTAAGCAAAGGGATGAACTTGCTGTCTGTGTTCATGCTCTTAGCTCACAGTATATGTTACATAGCTTCCCCCCTCAGTGCAGCTGTCCAGAATTCAGTGAAGTAAGTCATCTCACATCTATCTTACGTACATGGGTAATCGTCTCAGGGTAATGAATATTTCAACCTTACCTCATGGTAGTTTGACCTTAAAGGCATATACCAAGGAATTCATTTCCTTATTATTGTATCTAGTTAAAATTCATACATAAAAAAGTTATTATGAAGTTACTCATGAACTGCAAGGAATCTATTTTTATTTAAAAATGGAACAGTTCCCTTGGAGTGAACCCAGGACCCTTGGATCAAAAAGCATGACTCTCTACTGTTTCTCCTTAAGAACAAGCTCCCGTAGCTCAAATGCAAAAAGAAACTTAAGCTTGTATATAGTTTTGCCATTAGAGGATGATCAAGAGGGATACTGTTCCTTGGCTGGATAAATTTATCCAAACCCAAGATATAATTTAAGTCTCCTTTCAGGCCACTGCTTATAACTGCAATAAACAAGTCATCTGCAGGGATAAACACAGGATTTCCAGATATAACCCTCTACAGCTTGAGCAAGTTTGGGGGCTAGTTTAGATCAATAAACTTTTTCATAAGGTCTCACCATTAGAAGATAACAATGTCATATTGTGGTAGTATAAATACACTGTTTTTCGCCTTTTTTTAAAAAAAGACTTGAAAAATCATTAGTATAAGTGAGGGGTACAGGATGGAAGAAGACAGGCTGACAGGGGCATGAGTCCCACAGTGCTTGTAAGGCAGGGCACCGGAGGGGAGACAGAGGAGCATAAGCCACCAGCAACACAGAGGAGAGTGGAGTGGGGTCAGGTCTCTTCTCTTCAGCCTCACCTTCTCTCCCTGTGGAAGATACTGTTGCTGCAAGGAGAGCATATATGGGTATCACCAAATTGGGGAGCTAATGGATATATGGGTACCACCAAATTGGGGAGCTTTGCACAGTCACTCACTATATAAAATGGCAGCACTCATGGGCCCAGGGGAGAACGGCTGCTGGCAGCAATGTCCTGTCCCCACCCTGCTGTGCATGGCTAAAGCCTAGAGCTCCACTGTCTCCATTCCAGCACCCCAGTGTGCAAACCCTCAAGTCTGAGTCTGCTGCCAAGTGACAAAATCTACTAGTTCAACCTTTGTGAAAGTGCTTTTTTTGTTGTTGAGGGTTTTATTTTTATTTTTTTTTGTTCTTTATTTTGATTTGGGGATTTTTTTCTATTAAACATAAGCTTGTATTTTGTCTTGTACGTAGAAGCAACAATTACGGTTTATCTTTTCTGGAGCCACTGAAAGAACCCAGAAAAAAACCCAAGCATATTGTGACTTCCCATATAGTAATTTGAGGGGACAAGGATGTTCATTTTTAATACTTAATCTATCCAAAAAGT